ATCATATAACTACTTAAGATCTGTGCTTTTTATGATATATAAATTATATCTTAACTTAGGAAGAGGTAAGAAGTACCAATAGAGTTATTAATTATATTCGAAAGAGATATTTCAGTGAGGTCATGGAGCAGACCCTGTATCTTGCAAAACAGAAAATCTAGATCGTACTTTTGGGAATTTTATCCTCAAAGGGAGTAAATCATCATACTTGTTTGACTTGAAACATGGTAGTTTTTTTTAATCTAGGAAAGGTCTGATAAAATTTTTAGAATAATAAAAAAAATGAGCAAAAAGAAGGATGAGATTTAAAAACATAAAAAAAACTTGTCTCCAAAAAGACCTAGGAATTGAAAGTAGTGCTTGGGAATGAGGTAAAATCATCCCTAAGCTTTGCACCCTTGAATCACATCAGTTGAAGCAAAAGTGCTTTGTACCCTTAAATTCTGTTTATAGTTTTTGTTGTTGTCGCTTGTCTGTAACTCCAACCTACATTATTACAGTTAAAAGCCAAATGCATATCTGCTTAACATCATTTTGGGAGTTTTAGAAATTCTTTTGCAAATGCAATATTTAACAAAATTTATTGTGTTCTCCTTTCCTGATTGTTTATTTGGTGAACCACTTGTTTGGTGTTGAGAAGATGAGACAATTGTTATTCAAGCTCAAGGAACACAAATGTTATGCAAGCTTCACAAGAAAGGAAGATACAATACTTCAATACCGTTGGTATTTTACTCATTTTCTTGAACTAGTGTTTTTCAACTTTTTTGGGACTGCCATAATAATTCTGAAAGCAAAGGTCCTGATGGCAGTTGGTTTTCATGTCCCCGTATCTAAAGCAAAAGGTGCTTTAGAGCCTACTGTGTTTTAAAATAAAACATTACCTAAAATAATTCACATTTAAGAATTTTATGAACGCTTCCAGGATAAAGAAATAGCTTGGGTGCAGCAAAAACAGAAACCCCCCCCCTCCTAAAAAAAGCAAGGTTGGGGATCCCTGCATAGCAAGAAACACCTTTGATATTGCTATATCTGAGATAAACAATAAGAAAACTATTTAAGTTTCACATTTAGCTATAATCTGTTTGAGTGTGATACTGTTGAACCCAGACTGCCATAAACCACCCTGGGGCCTTCTACAGTGAACAAATATAGCAAATGACTCCGTGCTAATATTTTTCAGGGGCTCAGACTTTAATCTATTAAATATTTTATTTCCTAGTTTTATATTATTCTTTAGGGGACTGAGAATATTTACATGGTGTTCCTCTCTATTATTTTGTCTTTTTGATATTGAATCTATTGTACTTAACACAAATATTATCACTTTATTCACACTAATTTGTCAGTTTATATAGTGGATTTTAGTAGAATGCAAACCTATAGGGAGAATACTATATGGTATTACACAAACACAAATAAATTAATGTTCCCTATCCTTCACAAAAATACAGGAGGTTTCCATCAAGGTAGTTTTTTCTGAGAATGGGAACCTGGAATTTTGAAAAGAATTTATAACATAGTGATTAGAATACTGATTTTGGGGCCAGACTATTGGGGTTTAGAAGTTGCTTTGCCTCTGTGTATTTCAAATTATTCATCTGTGCAATGGGATTTTTTTTTTTTTTTTGAGACAGGGTCTCACTCTGTTGCCCAGGCTGGAGTGCAGTGGCATGATCATGGCTCACTGCACCCTCAACCTCCCGGGCCTCAGGTGATCCTCCCATCTCAATCTCCCAAGTATCTAGGATTACAAGCATGTGCCACCACTCCCCACTAATTTTTGTATTTTGGGTAGAGACGAGGTCTCATCATGTTGCCCAGGCTGTTCTTGAACTCCAGGACTCAAGCGATCTGATCACCTCAACCTCCCAAAGGGCTAGGATTGCAGACATAAGCCACTGTGCCCAGCCCTGTGCAATGGGATTTAAAATAGTAACAATACCTACCTCACAGAGCTTCTGTGAGGACTGAATAAGATCAATACTGCTGAGAATACTACTTTGCCATAGTAGGTACTCAATAAATATTAGCCATTATTACTGGAGTGAGGATAAATGACTTCCAGTAGCTGCTCTACTTAACTGAAATGTTGTACATACCCATACAGACACACAAACACAACACTGGATTAAGTTCTAAAATATGTTTGAATCCACACAGTCATGGCTCTGGATTAAGGACTCCTCAACATGCAATTCTAGATAAACTGCATTACTTCTTCCATTAATCAATGGATAATTTATTTATCATATGCCTCATGGCTCAAGTAAAATTTCAAACTTTTAAGCACACACCGTACATGATTATCCCCGAGTGCTCTCCATGGTTGCTTTTAAACCCATCCCCTTTTCTGAAATACTGGAAAGAAAGGGACTCTTCTTAATTAATACGTTGGTTCTTATTTTCTTTCATAAGGTGGCTATACTCATTATTTTTAGGAGCTCTCCAGTTCTCCATTCAGTGCATAGACAGCTCCCTGAAATATTTAGTTACTGATCATACTATCCTTCTAATCTTCTTTTCTCCTTGGTCTATGCACCCACGGCTGATTTGCATCTTCTGTCAAAGTCCCTACAGATGAAACTGTATGTCCGCCCCCCAACCCCACTGATTTATACGTATATATATAAACTCCTATTCTGCAAAGAATGCCACTTAGAAAGGTTGTTAATCACCACATGCTTGTTCTGAATTGTATTGTTCTGCATTGCATCATGCAGCTTGATTGTAAGTTCCACAGGGCATAGCCTTTGTTTGCCATGCCCTGACTATTGTTCAGCACAGTGCACATTGATGGGACTATAGAAAAAACAAACAATGGCTTTATCCACGTTTCCATTTTAATTGTCAAAAGGAATGGTTTAAAAGCACAATTCACACAAGAAGTTGAGTATACAGCCTCTGAAATGGCTAAAATAAGCCATGTAAACTTTAGAGGTTAAGGCTAACTTTTTAAATGTAACTTTCAACTTTTGTTCATTTGTCATTCTTTTTCTCTGAAAATTACCTGAAAGTCAACCATGTATATCTAAATGATTGCAGGTACGCTTAGCTCATGTGACTTGGGGGAAAACTAACTGGGTGTAGAATCTAGTACTCAGATATGCTTGGCACTGCCAGAATTACAGGGATCACAAAAAATCTGTTAAAGGATTTCACAAGCTGGCTCTGTAAAAGGTACCATTTCCCATCAAAGACCACAATTAGGACCATGGACAGCAGACGGTACATTCTAACCTGTGGGTTTTTTTTGTGAGGCAGCAATTACAAAATAAGAAAAAAAAAATCGACAGGTAATCTCTTGCCAAAGCACAATTTGCATTATCTCTAGGAAATGGCAAGCATAGCAGTTCAGGCAGTTGCCAAGTGTTTTAACTGCTTCTGCCTGACATTAGTTCCTATTGCACATCTCCTATAGCACAGTTGGGATCGTTTTAGTGCATCTTTGGAATTCCATATCTTTCTAAACAGAGTGCTGACTGAATGGTCAAAGATCTAGATGAACTCTAAAAAATACCAATATTACAGATGACAGACATGTAAACACCATAAATATAAAAGCAGATCCCAGGACAATTGACTTATAAATGGATGCATCATACAGGTCTAAATGCACAGCTTCTCCAAGGTCTAATATATAACATTTATATATTAGACTCCAAGGTCTAATATATAAATACAGACAATAAGTCTATGTTTTAAAATAAGTTCATAACCATATGTTTTAGAAATTTCTATATCAGTTTATTTGATTAGTAGTGATCTTTTATCTTTGAAGACGGAATGATGCAATGTGGAGTTTTCTGTGATTCTGTATCCTAAGAATTTCCCAGGGCATTTGTCAAAAGCAGAATCTCAGACTCTACTCCAACTATTAATACAGATCTTCCAAGAGAGAATCTTAGATATCTCTGTCTCTAAAAACCCTCTCAGTTGATTTTTATTGATTAGGCAATGGTGCTGGAATAGTAAAATGGTAAAACGAAATTGGAAATATCAAGCACTGGTTTCTTGCTTGCATTGTTTGGATACTGACAGACACCTGCCTGTAGGCCTTGGGTCAGTTATTTGAGCATTTGAAATCTCCTTTTTCTCAAACAGGAAAAGAAGGATCTAGATTGGGTATTCTCTATGGTACTTTTTTACTCCAACATTCATTCTAGGATTCCGATTAAACAGATGAGCTGGATCATATTGTTTTCTGATTCATCTTTACATATCTGAGAGATTAAGTAAGCTTGCCAGGAACAAAGTACATTGCTTTGTTGTTTCTCTTGATACATATAACTCAAGGCTAATTTCCCTACTGCATGTCAATGCATTAACACTGATGAAGGAAAAAAATCTACTTGAGAAATTTGGATTGTGGGGGTGTTTGGAAGGGGAAAAGCAATATGTAAAAGTGTTTGATACAAAGATTAATTTAGGTCTTAGCAGACTCTTAGAAGGCTCTTTAAACATCTATTCATGATATGGCCACAAGCCCCTGGAGAGTCAAATAAATTATTCTAAGATTCTTTCATCAGATAATGGAGGCTAATTTGAAGAAGTAAATAGTAATTGCAATATTAAGCAATTCAAACCACTGTTACAACTATTTCTGGAACTCCCCATGCTGACAGATTTATTTGATGCTAAGTCCTTTTCCTTCATCTTTTAAAAAGCATTTTACATAATCCGGCATTACCTATTTTACATATGTGGCATTTTGCTTAGCATTAAAGTAGTTTATTTGGAGAAGATTCTTTACAGACTATTCTGGGGAACAGCCTGCTACTCTCTTCATGTAGCAGCAAAAGATGCAGGGATGCTTGTTTAAATGTGGCTTCTCTTAACAGCTTGTAGAGCTAGGGAGCAGAACAAGAGTGTAAACATTATTAAAATAATCTATAGTGCCAAATGCAAGGAAGCAAATGCCAAAACTTCTCCAAAAGTAGCATGGAACTGACAGAGAATGCATACTCCAGTATTTACACTCTTGCTTTACTATGACTTACCAAGGTTCATGCACCAGCCACGTGTACTCCTCCTCTTCCCAACGGCTCTGCAGGGAAAACAACAGGTGTTTCTAGTCAATAATCCAGTGTAACACAGTCAGTAAAGACCCAGGTAGGCCTAGTAACCCACAGATTTGCTTTAAGATTTTCTTTTAGTAGTGTCCTTTGCTGTTCTGGTCTTTGGGAAACATGCATACGTATGCGTGCACACACACACACACACACACCCACCCAAAGTTGTTTGTATAAAACCAATTCCTTCCCATTGTTTGCTGGATTCAAAAATGTTCCAACCCTGACAACAAAGGCATTAGGTAAAAAAGAATGCAGTAGATAAATCTTGTGGCTCCCATAAAAGAATACAAACATAGGGATTTGTGATAATGCCAAGTACTTTCAATGTAACCACCTCTGCCCTTTGTAAAACACTAGCTGCTCTCTACATGTACATGAATGGAGTTCAAATGCAGAGATGAGACACAGCTAAGTCCTTGGGATCCTCTTTTGAATACTGTGTAGGAGTGTGTTGTGAGGAGTATGGAAGCTGTTTCTGCTAGGCATGAATTTTAATCTATACCCCATGGTCTCCTAGAGGTCTGAAGGTTTTGTACGAATGAGACAGGAATTTACCCGTGCCCTGAAAAAAGATGATGTTATAGGCTGTTTTCCTTGGCAACAGGATATGTATGTGGTCCCTCCAAGGAGACTAACCGTGCCTGACAGCTGGTGAGTCTCGCGCTACTTGAATTGGTTTACTCGTAGTTAATCCAGTTCCAGGCATTAATTGACAGTGGCTGGATGTGACAGGGCTATTTTGGTTTTGCTTTTTTACTATCGAATCTAAAAGATAAAAGAAAATTACTGAGGTTGCAGGTTACAAGTTTGGATAGCTCATCATAAAATCTCTATCGAGATATAGAAAATCTTGTTCTCTGCAATTTTTTTTTGTATCACTACCTAATTTTTAAAACTAAAGTCTTGGCTGTTCTAATTTAGTACAAACTTATCCATCAGATCCCATTGTCAATTGTGGAAATGCTGTTATGTAGTAAAAATTCCTTAAATAGGTTTTAAGCTCCTAGAAGGTAAGTTAGAGCTAACATATTTCTGGATACGTAGTTGTCATATATTGAATTAACAAATAAATACTGACAATGTGAACAATATTGATGAAAATGTTTTTGAGTGTTTATTAGGTGTCAGGCATATATTACTTATCTTATTTGCATTATTTCATCTAATTTTCAAAACAACCAAGTTAAATATTTTTTCATAAAAATTAACAGGATAAGTAATTTGCCTAAGATCCCACAGTAAATAAGTAGCCAGGAAATAGTCATGTCTTGCTGCTTATTTATAACTTTAAAACGTCTTATGAAGAACTTATATCTGACTAATAAGATTCATGTAAATATACAGATGAAAACATACTAGCCATATTTTTCACAGTTTATTTTATAATATCATGTTAAGTAAATGAGCAAGATACAGATACTAGATATTATATAATTATACGTGCCTAAGTATATACACACATACATACAAATATTTCTTTACACATACACACATACATGCTTGAAAAATGTGAGTGCACTTTTCTTCTGGCCAGTGAAATTGCAAGTGATTGTTTTATGCTTTATGCTTATGTCGATTATTTTTCAAATTTGTATATGTATTAATTGTATAATAAACGTTTTAAAGACATCTAGCAAACTAGAACTCTGAGATCAGTAATTGACACAGTTCAACCCGAGCAGACTTCATGAAGGAAGGCAACTGAGCTAGTCTAAAAGATTCCATCAGATTTACATAAACGGAGAACGTGGAAAAAGACATCAAGAGACAGGAGAAAACCTTTCCAGCAAAGTCAGAGGCATGCCTGGGAGCATATTCTAAAGACAAGCACAGGCCAATCTTCTACGCCAGATGGTGGCCAGCATATATTTTTTTAAAAAGGGGGTGTCATAAGGAGAAAGGTATCCCCTATTTCACAGTATTCAGGATGAGTATATTCAGCCTTTCCCCCACCATTCCCATAAAGAAGTCTGGAAATATGTAAATCCTCAACTAAAAACTAAAATTCAATTCACTTTCAAAATAGCATGTCAGTCATGTTAGTCATGGTCCACCATCTTTGCTGTTCCTTTTTTGCCCCTTACATGGCTCAAAGGTCCTGCTGTATTAGATAGGCATCACATCCCACTGTGAAGTCATTCATACTTGGGTATAAAATCCTGTGTCTTGCGAAAGTGCCCTAACATTAGTGCCTTCTTCTAGTGCTGTGATGAGGAATGTGAAGGATACAATAGGTCAAGTCCTGAGTCAGGCAGAATACCAGGCACAGGAAAACAGTTTCACAGGTAGTAGCAGTTAACAACTGTAAATCATTACTTCTAGAGATAACTGAAGAGGGCAGTGACTGGCAAAAGTGCTGGTGGTGAGCATGGAAAGCCCTCTTGTGGAAGAACATTTGCCTCATCGTGATGCCATATAATCTACATACACTCTACAATTTCTACCATTAGTCATTCCACTGGCATAACAGGAAAAGACTCTTGCTTAGATGCAGCAGGCTTATGCAAAGAAATAGGAAAAAGGAAAGGAATTAAACATGTATTTTATTTTTTGTAAAGGTGGATCTGGCTATGTTGCCCAGGCTGCTCTCAAACTCCTGGGTTCAACTCGTCTCCCTGGCTTGGCCTCTCAAAGTGCTGGGATTACAGATACACACCACCATGCCCAGCCCATTTTTAATCCCATTTCAAAGACAGGTAAACATTGGCTCCAAGGGAGCACTTAATTTGCTTAAAGCTACTTGGTTAGAATATAGGGGAAAAAAAAGGAATCCTAGTCTACCTCTGTGCTTCCCAAATCCATGGTCTTTCCATGAGGAGTCATGTTTCACTGGAAAGAAGTAAGACTTAACGTGGTATTGCAGCATGAGCAAAGAAAACCTGAGTTCTGGGTCCATTGACCATCTCTTTATCCTTGGTGAGATAATGTAGTTCTCTGTAGTTACATCAACTATTAAAGGATGGAATTACATTCTAATAACATATCAGGACCCCGTCCTTTCTAAAACCTATCAAATCTAATTATTTAAAGCCACGGACAGTAAACACTTTATAAGAATGACTAAGGCTTATATAGTCTTTAAGTATGTGTCAGGAATTATTCTAAACTCTCTATATATTATCTCATGGAATCCTGACAATTCTATGGCATAGTTACAATTACTAGATATTCTTACCAATATTTTACACGTAAGAAAACCAAGGCACACAGCTATTAAGTAACACGCCAAAGGTCACATAAATGGCAAAACAGGGTCCTTAATCCAAAAACTCTGGATCCATTTTGTGCGTGTAGTGGCAATGCAATCATCAGATCTTTGGGTCAAGTTATTCTGAGAAAAGCAAACACAGAATATACATTTCAGTGGAAAATGATCCAGTGCTTAGGGGTGAGCAACCCTGTATAGCCAGAAAAGTATGGTGAGGCTACCGAATAACTAGAGTAGAAAGATCAATAAGAAAAACAAGACCAATATGCGAACAATTGCCATAGGTTTCCCAAATTTGCACAAGCAGTCATAGTTTCTGTGCCATCAGGTAACTTGGAATCCAGTCACATCTGCAGGCAGCAGCCCTCAGATTTTTCAGGGGAAACTATCCTTCCAGTTCTCAAAGACCCTGGTTCTCACAGTGTGGCCCCTGTATCAGCAGCATCATCAGCATCACCTAAAAACTTGTTATAAATGCAAATAATCAGGCCACAACCCCAACTTGTTGAATCAGATGTTCTGGGAAATTTGGCCCAGCAATCTGCATGTTAATAAGCTCTTGTGGGAAGGCTAATATGTGCTAAAGCTTTAGAATTACTGTTTTAAGACACGTGGCTTGGATACATCTAATCTGGATCTGAGTTTTGGAGTGGGCTTTTAAATTAGATGTGGCCAATCAGGCTTAAAAAAGTGGCTGATTCACCCATGTGGAGCCATGAGACACAATTTTGAGAATGTTATTGGAAATGTTGCGAGGAAATCATATGAGACTCGATTTTATGTCATTGCTAAGGGAAAGCTTGCTTTGGGAATGGAACCAACACAGAGAAATACAAAGGAGACCAAGGTGGGTGGAGCTGTGCCATCTTCTGTCAATATCTTCGGCATCTCAGAGTTCCGTCAACACAAACCATGTATGGTCATGTGTCCATTTATTTATGTTGCTGCTTCTGCCCAGAATGCTATTCTCACTCCTTTGCCTTCCTCAGGCTGAATTAACCATTTCCTGTTCTCATTCATGCACCAGCTTTGTCTTATGTTGAACACAGCCCTAAAGACACTCCACAGTAGGTAGTTATTTTTGTTTCTCCATACCTCTCCCACACCCAGTGAAAAAAAAATCTCCTTGAAGGTAGGAGAGCAACATTTATGTATATGTGTGTCTGTGTGCATATATACACACACACACACACATATTTATTCCTACATAAAATTATACAAGTATAAATATATGCTATATATACTTAATATATATAATTTTATATACAGGTATATATACATACCTTTATAATTTATACCTATATAATGTTACTATATGTTACCTATATAATACTATACTATAATGTCACCTAAACATTACTATATAATTTATACCTATATAATGTTACCTATATAATTGTACCCATATAATTTATACCTATATAATATAAATTATATAGGTATATAATAATTTATACCTCTAATATAAATTATATAGGTATATAATAATTTATACCTCTAATATAAATTATATAGGTATAAATTATTATACCTATAATATAGGTATATATTAATTTGTAGGTATATAATAATTTATACCTATATAATTTATATCTATATAATTTATATTGTATAGGTATATAATTTTATATTATATAGGTATAATTTATATATTTATATCTTCATATTTGTTTATTATATAATTTATATATAAAGCATATAATTTATACCTATATAATGTTACTATATCATGTTACCTATATATTACTGTATTATAATGTTACC